AACTACCCCTACTCAGCTTCACTGGGGGAGGCCAAGACATTTTCCATCAGAATTGGCTACTGTCAATGGAAGAGGAGACTGGAACTTGGCTCAGCTGAGGCAAAACCTGTGCCTTCCTTGACACCCAATTCCACCCCCTTCAGTGCCATGTCTGAGGAAGATTCTATTCAGCTTGGTTCCCCATTTATCTGTTCAGGAACTCACTCGCTGTTGCGACATGGGACTTTGTTTGTATTGTGGTCTCAGGGGTCATATGCCTCACTCTTGCCCCTAATGTCCAGAAAAATCTAGGACCCTACGTAATTGAGAAAAGGTTGCCCTAGTTCTGTTTTCAACTCCTCAAAAGGGCAATCACCTAAAGATCCCTGCTGTTATCCACTATGAGACTGGATATCATGAGCTGCAGATGTTTATGGATTCTGGAGCTACCTGAAAATGTATGTATCAATCTCTGGTCACCCGCTTAAAAACCTATGTTTTGTAAAGACGTTCCCAGGAGTGTTGTAAGGATGATGCAGCAGCTGCAGGTGCACTTCACATTTCTCAAAGGGCCTATACGTTTCCTGCATCTTTTCTATTTTGTCTTCAGAAGCTTCACTACAAAATATAAACAGCAATAATAATTACCATTTATTCTTTTCTTAATTACTGGTCAGTAACTGGACTGGTCAGTCCTTGGCTAGTCTGCAATTTCGACCACAAGCTACATTGTCCATGAAACCTGTAGTGCAATATGAGATGAGCTAAAGGATGTGCAAATGAAAAAACTGACAATGAAGGGATGGTCCAAAATATTACATCAATTCTGGGAGCACTGCAATTTTCCAAATTGTGTGGGAGCAATTGATGGTATGCACATAAGAATCATAATGCCAATATCATGTGGCAGCAGGTTCTTTACCTGTAAACAATATTTTTATTTTATTTTTATTGGCAGTGAATGATGACAATTATTATATTCTTTCTATTGATGTTGGTTCATAAGGGAGTAGCTCATACGCAAGTGTTTTTGGCCACTTGGCATTTACACAGGGATGCTGCAGGAAGACAGAATTGATGTGCCTGTAAACTGTCCACTGATGGGAACAACAGGTCTTGCTCTACCTGGAATTCAGCTTTTGTCTACAAATATCTATATTTAATACAAAAACAAATTTCCATTAACGATAATCCATTAAAGGAGACTGATTCCCAAAAAACAACCAAGAGCATCATGTGTAGTACTTTTACAATAACCTATTACTGATACCATATCATATTAGTAGAGTTTGTCTAAATATTTACCAAATATTATAGGCACGCAAATCAGAATGGGGGTTTTGGCATGTGGTTTTTATTCTATACACCATTCTCATAGTTTTTCTTAAAGCAGATGCAAAACCTCAACTGATTGGCATTTGCTAAAGCACTGTGTGCTGCAAACAATGCTTGCTTTTACATAAATATTTGTTTTCACCTTTGTTGCATCTTAGTGTTGCTGATCTCCTGCTGCTTTTTTCGCAGTCACAACCTTTCTACATGCATGTGCTTCATGGATGGCTGCATGGCATTTCCCATATTAATGGTGGACCATACATATGCAACGTGTTGAAACAGCCACTGGTTGCCTCCATTAAAAGTAACAATGCAGAACAGCAGTTGGAAGACAGGGGACATAGCACTGTCACCCTATAAATGGAAGTGTCTGAACAACAGTCACTTTTCTGGCAGGATCACCACATATTATTACAATAAGAGCTACAGATTTGAACATATTGGAAATCACTTTTGAAGTGATATTAACATGGTAAAGCTTACATTATATTTTTGTTCTTGGGTTTACATACTTTAAAAATGACTATGGCTAACTAGCTTTAAAAAGAGTATCTCTTTACTTACCTTTTATCTTTTTATTGTTTCATTTGGCATCATACAGAGAAAAGCATTTACAGGCTAACCATAATTAAATTAAAAGAATTTAGAGAAAGCATAGATCAGGGACTAGTGATGGGGACTGCAACAAAAGCTTGAAGATGATCTGATTGGGAAATGCTGTAGCAACTGTGTGAATTTAGCATTAGAGGCAGTTTTGGCATAGTACAGGTATGACTGGGCAGCGATGAATGGAGGGAACAAATTAATGGATAATTCATCAGGGAACTGGCAAACAGTAAGACAATGGGCAAGCATTAGTCTTTAGCTGACTAAAAGAGCAACTGTGATCACTGCAATCAGAAGCCTGGCCAAAGTGGTATCAAATGCATTGTCAAAGTTTTTATTTTTACATTTGTTTCCACATGCTTTAGTAATGCTTCTATTACATGTTGTCTATTACATCATCATATCAATTGCTGCCAAGAATAAAAGAGAGGTTTAACATCGTATTTAGGTTTTCTTTTGCTGCACAGAAAATAATCTCATACGCCGCCATTTGTTAGCTCAATATCTGTTGTACATGTTTACATTGTTTTTGTTGCTATGTTTTTCAGTAGAGCACAGCATGTTCCCTTGGCCAGCTGTATATCATGCAAGATACAAAGGAAGCAAGCAAGTGCATAATGAACAACACATGCAGAATGAAAAAAGAGCAGGCTTCATTGATTGCAGTGACATTCATAAAGCTGTAATGTTTCTAACAAAAAAAATGAACAGACTATTTAAGTGCTCTAAATCCTTGGAAAAAGTCATATAATTTTTACATTGATGTTCAATGTGTTCTTTTTTGCAAGTTTAGATTTGTTATCCCTTTCTTCTGTTAAATTTATCTTGGAAGCATATTGTAACAAAAATAATTTCTCATCTCAAAAGTAATATTGATAAAACATATCAAATATATTGTTATTCCTTATGTTAGTAGCAACATTATCATTTTTAAAGTAACATTGTTGTAGGTCAAAACAGATGCTGCACATGATTTTAATTGCTACAATTTCTTGATATTAACATTCAAACAATTCATCTTATAAATCAAATGGATAAAATTGTGCCTATGTTTATATAAACAATTAGCATTTATAGTTTAGCTGGCTATTTTTAAAGGGTCATTTTTTCTGAAAGGATTTTAGGGCATAATAACCAATATAATAATATAATAATTTTTATGACCACAAAATATTGAAATACTGTCTGATAGAACACATTGTAGTAACCTCTATATCCTAGCTGGAAGGTTTTGTCATATTTACAAAATGTACATGTGCAGTATTATCTGATTTTGACCAAAGACATAATTTATTTCAAATACAATATGTTGTATTTATCCATTGCTACATAAAAATGTATTATAATGTTTTTAAGAAGTATCAGGTTTATATATTCTGATCAATTAAACAACACATAAATATTATCAAATATAGAGCAGCTTGGGGATATATAAAACACATGGTTTGTTATTGTTAATTTTGAAGGGGAATCTGGGTCAGTTATATGGATTGTGAGTTCCCCGAGGGAATGTGGGCTTTAGCAGTAATCCAATAATTGCTCACTACCCTTCGACATCTGTCAAGTGCAATCTTTTAAGGTGCCTATTTTTAAACAATGATATTCCATGTCAGATGAAAGACTACATCCAGAAAGAGCTGTGGACTGCCACATTTAAATTCCATGTCATCCAGGATTAATTAGCAAAACATGTACTATAATCTTTTCATAGCAAGATTATTGTTATCATTGCTAACATCATTTGCAGTGAAGGTACATTAAATATGTGGTTGGTCCAAAATCCCACAGTAGGCATAATATACTTTTTATGACCCTTACTTTATTATTAGAGAGTGTTATGAATATTAAATATGGATGTAGCAAATGTATGAGTTTTGTAATTTTATTTATTTCAGGTACTTATATAGCGCCGTCAATTTATGCAGTGCTTTACACATATATTGTACATTCACATCAGTCCCTAACCCTCAAGGGGTGTACAATCTAAGGTCCCTAACTCACATTCATACATATACATACTAGGGACAATTTAGAGAGAAGCCAATTAACCTACCAGCGTGTCTTTGGAATGTGGGAGGAAACTGGAGTACCCAGGATAAACCCACGCAGGCACAGGGAGAACATGGAAACTCCAAGCAGGTGGTGCCGTGGTTGGGATTCGAACCAATGACCCTAGCACTGCCAGGCAGAAGAGCTAACCATTTAGCCACTGTGCTGCCCGAGTTATTTGATTAAATAAGTTTATATAATTATGTGACTTGGAAGTCAGGATACATGACTTGTAGAATTGTATGCATAGTGAACAAATCTAGATACATATTTTGTAGAATGAAATAAATTCACACTTTTGCCATTCCACATGATTTCAAATGATCTCAGTGTTTGCTATATATATACTATATTCCCAAAAGTATTGGGACGCCTGATTTTACACTCACATAAACCTTAATGGCATCCCAGTCTTAGTCTGTAGGGTTCAATATTGAGTTGGCCTACTTTTTTCAGCTATACCAGCTTCAACTCTGCTGAGAAGGCTGTCCACAAGGTTTAGAAGTGTGTCTATGGGAATGTTTGACCATTCTTCCAGATCAGCATTTGTGAGGTCAGGCAGTGATGTTGGATGAGAAGGTCTGGCACACAGTCTCCGCTCTAATTCATCCCAAAGGTATTCTATTGGGTTGAGGTCAGGACTCTGTGCAGGCCAGTCAAGTTCCTCCACACCAAACTCACTCATCCATGTCTTTATGGACCTTGCTTTGTGCACTGGTGCGCAGTCATGTTGGAACAGGAAGGGGCCATCCCCAAACTGTTCCCACAAAGTTGGGAGCATGAAATTGTCCAAAATGTCTTGGTATGCTGATGCCTTAAGAGTTCCCTTCACTGGAACTAAGGGGCAGGCCCAACCCCTGAAAAACAACCCCACACCATAATTCCCCCCTCCACCAAACTTTACACTTGGCACATTGCAGTCAGGCAAGTACCGTTCTCCTGACAACTGCCAAACCCAGACACATCCATCAGATTGCCAGACAGAGAAGTGTGTGGTTGGTCACTCCAGAGAACACGCCTCCACTGCTTTAGAGTCCAGTGGCGTGCTTTATACCACTGCATCCCACACTTTGCATTGTGGTGATGTAAGGCTTGCATGCAGCTACTTGGCCATGGAAACCCAATAAATGAAGCTCTCTACACACTGTTGTTGTGCTAATCTGAAGGCCAAACGAAGTTTGGAGGTCTTTAGCTATTGACTCTGCAGACAGTTGGCGACTTCTGTGCACTGTGCGCTTCAGCATGCGCTGACCTCATGCTGTCATTTTACGTGGCCTACCACTTCATGGTCGAGTTGCTGCTGTTCTCAGTTGCTTCCACTTTGTTATATTACCACTAACAGTTGACTGTGGAATATTTAGTAGCAAGGAAATTTCACAGATGGACTTATTGCTCAGGTGACAACCTATCACGGTAACACGCTTGAATTCACTGGGCTCCTGAGAGCGACCCATTCTTTCACAAATGTTTGTAGAAGCAGTCTGCATGTCTAGGTGCTTGATTTTATACACCTGTGGCCATGTTGGTGATTAGAACACTTGAATCCAATGATTTGAAGGAGTGTCCCAATACTTTTGGCAATACAGTGTATGGACCCTCACTTTAGTATCAGAACAGGCGTAAAAATATAGATCACATGAAAACAACAATATCAACACTATCTGAAAAACTATTTTATTTTTCAAGGTTCTATTAAAAGGAAAGGAAAAAAAGAGAAGTGAAGATAAAAAAAAACTTATAATTTATTTCAATATTAGGGGTAGTTTACAAATATTAGTGTCAAAACACTATACCTTGACACCACCATCCCCATGTAAAAACTCTTGGCTTGATAGTCTTACTATGTAATGTTGTTTTCAGTCTAAAAAGTATATAATACATGCCCTCTAAAAATTTCCATTTCTTCTACTTTTTGTATACATGCCCCCAACAGGGTTAGGCTTTCCACTTGCTACTTTCAAACAAAGCCCTAGAGTCTTTTGACTGTTTAAACAATTACCTTTATCCAATTTATCAAGCAAACAAAAAGCCTGCAGTTTTTTGGGTGTTTTTATAGGATTCTTTGTGACTTCCTATATGATATGTTGCACCCAGGGGAACCTCTGGCAGATTGGATACTTCTGGAAGGATTCCAATTTGGAAATTATGGTGCTTACAGTGGCCTTAGAAATGGATTTTTAATACTTTCATTTTGAGATTTTATATAACATTTTCTGTTATCTTCGGTAACTTATTTTGACCCTGACATTTTGTGCTTATTAAATCTCGAGGATCAAAATAAATGAGATTTATATTGGACAGCCTGGCTATAAACCTAGGCTAGCTGTCCTCAGTCACTGAACTCCATTTATCTCTTTAATTTAGCAGATTTAGCTAAGGGGGATATGGATCGCTCATTAAGTGCCATTTGGTATTTGATCTTTTTTTTTTTTCATTTTTCATTTTCTAAATGGTATAAGTAAATGTGTAAATATGTTAAGCCAGATTTTGTTTCAAGACCTGAAAACATGTTAGAAACTTCAAAGGAACAAAATAATTGTACACCGCTCCTCTCTCTTTTTCCATAATCAGGGAATCTTTGTTACAGGTCTCTAATCCAGAGTTGTACTGAAGGAAAATTGCATTACTAGATTGAACTCAGCAAAAACAGCACTCATATTTATCTGCATTTCATGTAGTTTTTAGAACAAGATCAAATGAGCCTTCATTAGAGTAAAGTGTATTTACAGTAAACCCAAGAACAAAAATATATTGCAGCTTTCCAGTCCTAAAATATGGTGGATGCATTACTTTTCCTTTTTCATTCTTTTTTCTTTTCACCTGGTCATTCTGTGAGAAACACATATCCTATCCTACAATGACAATGCTTACTCACCATACCATGTCTATAGAGGAGCCATGCTGTGACTTTAGGACAGCAAGTGTTTTAGGACTAAGGAATATCTACCCTTTTTCCATAAAATAGGGGAAGGTGTTCTGTTGTACACAGTGAGGTGTACAGAAATGTAGACAGTCAGCAGAGGGAATGTATACATCTCAGAGAATTTCTGGCATGATCAATATGGAATTTTTTGCATTTATCAATCTGATAGAACAAAACACTTTAATGGTATATTTAACAGATCACATGGGAGCAAATAAGAGAAATTAATTGTTAGGGTTTACATACACTTTAATAAATAAGTCAAAATAAATGAATATCAGTTTTCAATTAACCTAATCAATGACCGACCTAGTCATGTAAAAGAAACATTCCAGTACAGTACAGTATGTATGCAATGCTTATCACCCAATCAGGATAGTGCCTTACTGCAAGTCTCTGTCCTTTGACCTGTGGATACTAAAAGTTGTCAGCAGGGGCGGACTGACAACTCATGGGGCCCCCAGGCAATATGGGATCATGGGGCCCCTGTGTCCTTGCCCAAACTCAAAAAAGACTATGAAAAAGGTACCAGGGGCATCTCATGGGGCCCCCTACTGACCCCGGGCCGTCGGGCAGTGCCCGAGTTTCCAAATGGTCAGTCTGCCCCTGGCTGTCAGTCTTATACCAATGCTCCAATATAATACATATCAGTTTCTTTTGGTCAGATTCAGAGGTGTAGTTTTGTGATAACCATCAGTAATGTATTAAAGAGGAGCTTCTGTCATTTTTGAAAAAATTACAAATACTATAGCTGCTGACTTTTATAACAAAAAGATACTTTCCAGTGCTGTCGTCACCCTGGCTGGCTCTTCACCAGTCTTCAGGTCTCCTGTACCACCTGAGATACCGACTGTGACTTCCTGGTGTCTCAGAGCTGGCTCCTCACTGCCAATGCATGAGATGCACTGTGCTTTCTGATTGGCCCCGCAGGTACTGGGGACCTGTGACTTGCCTAGGTGAACAAGGCGAAAGTGGGAATGGGTACCTGTCAGAAACTGGAGAAAAAAATTTCCAAATCAGCCAAAGGAGAGGAAGAAGAGTATCGCTGGAACATCACCTGTTAGGTGGACCCCTGTTACCAGTAGAAATCAATTGACCACTAGATCTAGAAGATTTATAGTTAATACTATTACAATAAAAACAAACTATATCTAAAGGCAAAACTTGGTACAGCTTGGATAATGTAGGGAAGGGCTGTTAACTCTGTAAGTTTTTTTCCTTGTCTGTAGACACAGCAGGAAATAGGAGGAATTACTCAGTAAGAATTGCATCTCTCCCCATACAAGCCAACAGAAATGCAACAGCAGCTTAAAGCAAGTTGATGCAGATTTAACACTAGCCCTCCAGAGGATTTCCCCCCTTCCTGACCAGGCCATTTTTTGCGATACAGCGCTATGTTACTTTAACTGGCAATTATGCAGTCATGCAACACTGCACCCAAATGAAATTTACGTCCTTTTTTCCCACAAATAGACCTTTCTTTTGGTGGTATTTGATCGAATGTGCGTTTTTTTATATTTTGCGCTATAAACAAAAAAAACAACAATTTTGAGAAATAAACAATATTTTTGACTTTTTGCTTTTAAACATGTCCAGTAAAAAAAAATGTAAAAATCAAATTTCATCATAAATTTAGGCCAAAATGTATTCTGCGATATGTCTTTGCTAAAAAAAAATTCCAATACATGTAAATTAATTGGTTTAAATGAAAGTTAAAGCATTTACAAAAGGCACTATATATATATGCATTTTTTTTTTAGTAAGCGACTTATAGCGGGACTGCAGCAGGCATTCTGACACTGAGGGAACTGACTTGGTCTCACTGACATCCCCAGTGACACCAATACAGTGATCAGTGCTAATAAAAGCCCTGACATTGTACTAATGGCACTGGGCAAGAAGGGGTTAACATGTGGGGCGATCAAAGGGTTACCTGTGTGCGGTTTCACTGTGGGCTGTATGAGTGCTTTCCACTGTAAGCACACTGCTTTGTATGGCTCTGCTATGCCATACAAAGAGCCATACAAAGCAGTGTGTAGGAGCTGACAGGGGAGAGATCTGTATTGTTTATACACAGGTCTCTCTCCCGGAGATACTCTGTGATCACTGGGAGTTGGCGTGGAATCACCAGGCAAGATCTGGTGATTGACAGTCAAGGCCGTGCGCCCCCTACCTGGAACTGTGAAATCACATACAGTGGGGATCGAAAGTTTGGGCACCCCAGCTAAAAATTTGCATTAATGTGCATAAAGAAGCCAAGGAAAGATGGAAAAATCTCCAAAAGGCATCAAATTACAGATTAGACATTCTTATAATATGTCAACAAAAGTTAGATGTTATTTCCATCATTTACACTTTCAAAATAACAGAAAACAAAAAAATAGCGTCTGCAAAAGTTTGGGCACCCTGCAGAATTTATAGCATGCACTGCCCCCTTTGCCAAGCTGAGACCTGCCAGTGTCATGGATTGTTCTCAATCATCGTCTGGGAAGACCAGGTGATGTCAATCTCAAAGGTTTTAAATGCCCAGACTCATCTGACCTTGCCCCAACAATCAGCACCATGGGTTCTTCTAAGCAGTTGTCTAGAAAACTGAAACTGAAAATAGTTGACGCTCACAAAGCTGGAGAAGGCTATAAGAAGATAGCAAAGCGTTTTCAGATGTCAATATCCTCTGTTCGGAATGTAATTAGGAAATGGCAGTCATCAGGAACAGTGGAAGTTAAAGCAAGATCTGGAAGACCAAGAAAAATATCAGACAGAACAGCTCGCAGGATTGTGAGAAAAACAATTCAAAACCCACGTTTGACTGCACGATCCCTCCAGAAAGATCTGGCAGACACTGGAGTTGTGGTACACTACTCCACTATAAAGAGATACTTGTACAAATATGGTCTTCATGGAAGAGTCATCAGAAGAAAACCTCTTCTTCTACGTCCTCACCACAAAAATCATCGTTTGCACTTTGCAAATGAACATATAGACAAGCCTGATGCATTTTGGAAACAAGTTCTGTGGACCGATGAGGTTAAAATTGAACTTTTTGGCCGGAATGAGCAAAGGTATGTTTGGAGAAGAAGGGGCACAGAATTTAATGAAAAGAACCTCTGTCCAACTGTTAAGCATGGGGTTGGATCAATCATGCTTTGGGGTTGTGTTGCAGCCAGTGGCACAGGGAACATCTCACGAGTAGAAGGAAAAATGGATTCAATAAAATTTCAGCAAATTTTGGATGGTAACTTGATGCCATCTGTGAAAAAGCTGAAGTTAAAGAGAGGATGGCTTCTACAAATGGATAATGATCCTAAACACACCTCGAAATCCACGGGGGGATTACATCAAGAGGCGTAAACTGAAGGTTTTGCCATGGCCTTCACAATCTCCTGACCTCAACATAATTGAAAATCTATGGATAGACCTTAAAAGAGCAGTGCGTGACAGACAGCCCAGAAATCTCATAGAACTGGAAGACTTTTGTAAGGAAGAATGGGCAAAGATACCTCAAACAAGAATTGAAAGACTCTTGGCTGGCTACAAAAAAGCGTTTGCAAGCTGTGATACTTG